ATTTTCTTAATAATTTCTGTTTCCTTATTCCATTATTTTTTTCTATCCATTAGTGAAGAAAGAATTTCTCCGTCGTATTTCATATTTTTTCTTTTTATTCATCTCATTTCATTTTCCATTTCTTTTCTGATTTCTCATATTATTTATTTTAAAATTACTTCTGCATTCTGAAAACTTGTTACTTTCATTTTTAGTTTTTAAGGAAAGGTATCATAATTTTCTTTATTGATTCTGTTACAAATTAAACAAAAAAATTCTTTATGTAAACTATACGCAAATTATAAATTGCTTTTTCTTTCCTAGCTAAAAATTTAATTAATTAAAGTGCAAAAATTATTTTTGGCTTTACATTTAATTATTGTATTTACTTGTAAAAATATAAATATTTTTTACATGGTTGTAAATGGAGACGTTCCATCAGATAAAAGTTACAAGAACAAAAGAGAGTGTTTATAAGCTTGATATATTTTCAATGGGAGATTTTTATTCTCAACAATCTCTTTGGGCTTTCCTGAGTTTATTCAAGGTATCTTTCTAGAAAGTAACTAGGTGACAGGAAGTCTAGAGACCTTGATAACTACAGATTCTTGCTTCAAACAACTTCCAAAGAATTCATCAAAACAAATATCATTGCGAAATTCTCAATATTTGAAAACAATGGGCTATGTTCAGTTCAGTTCCAATTCTTATTTAATAAATTTAATTGATATTGTCTATCCTATATAATTACTATATTATCAATTAATAAAAATACTAAATAATAAGAAATAAAAGTTATTATTAATTGATTTTATACCTATATGTTTAATCTAAACTTATAAACATCTATTCATATACAATTTTTTTTTTAATTATTTATAAAATTCTTTCTTAGAATGAATCTACAAATTACTTTCTATTTTAAAACGTGTAAAAGTAAACAAATTTCGAGCATTCTAATAATATTTCACCATGTACTTAATAATATTGAACTCATTTTTAAAAATATATTGTAATATATAATATTCATGCATTTTCTATATAAATTTTTTTGTGACTTTTCTAAATGCAAGTTGATAATTTTTAAAAATAAATTATTTTAAATATAGTGAAAGATATAAGAATTTAGGGATGTTATTTCTCGTTATATATAATTTTTTTTTAAANATTTATTATTGCTCTGACCATTATATCTATTAAATATTTGTTAATTCATAAACTCAATATTGTTTTCTAACATTTAGATGAAAGTTCAAATTTTTAATATCATTGTTTAATAATAATATTAAATAATGATATTAATTTATAAAATAATTGTTCTTTGTTTGTTTAATGAGTTAATTTACCATTGGAGATAGATATTTGGTGATCTTGCATAACAAATATATTAAACATAAGATTTATTTGACATCAAATTAATGTATTTCCATTTCATTTTGTAAAGAAAATATTTTTTATAGAATAATCTTTTTAACAGATACAATTAATGAGATATTGTTCTCAAAATATATTGCATTTGATAATTTTACAATTTAAAAAAATTAAAAACATATATATATAATTAATTTAGTAGTTACATGTATGTTAATATTCTTCATAATCAATAACAAAAATTACTCTGATGAAAAAAAGAAAGTACTAATTGGTGATTCTAATACTTTTAAATGATCTGTGATCTTTGCCTTCATAATTCATTGGTAGAAGTGAACTATTTGCTTACATTTATCATCAAATATATGGTTTTTTAAATTTTTATAGAATTTATAATTGCATTTAAATATTTCTTATTCTTTTATTAGCATTCAATTTTCAGTATCTCGATAAATATTAGAAAAGAAAAGCATTAAAAAGTGCAAAGAGTGAAGATATTTTCTCTCATTTTATCTATGGAATTAACACATTCTAATGTAAACTGCCTCTCAAATATTCAACCTAATAATGTTTATTGCTTCAAACTAAAACATAAATTAAAATTTACCTTTGATTATTATGATGACTTTAATTTTCAAATATAAAAGAGAATTAAAATCAGTAAATATCTCTTATAATTTAATTTTGTTTGTAACATTATTATTTGTATGCGTGTATATAAACATATAAATTTCTATAATCAATTTTTTTTTCTTTTTAACTGATATTAAATGAATATGAATATATATACAAAAACTTATATAAACTAATATATGTAGGCCTATATTAGTTTAAGTTATTAATTATATGTATAAAGTATAGAGCCTGTCATAAATCTAATTCTAGTGATAATTGTTTTTGATAAAAATTTACACTAGTAATATTTCTTAAATTATAATTTATTCTTTTGAAAGTGTAGAGTATAGACCAGGGATGGCGAACCTGGTGTATACTCCACGCGTGTCGAAAGTGGCACGTCAGGAGAAATCATCTAGCACGTAACGTAACGATTTCGGTTTATCACCTGTGTTTTTCAATTTCTTTTCGATTTTTCACCCGGTCATTTTTTTTCAATCAGCCTCTCTACATTTATTCTAATTAAAGCATATTCGCTTCATTTCTATAAATATCGTTATTCGAATTTTAAAACCGGCACGCATAAACATTTTTAAAGTTAAATATTATAACTATGTGGCACGCGGGCTCAAAAAAAGTTTGCCATCCCTGGTATAGACAGTTTTATAATCTAGAAAATAGAAAATGAAAATAAAGAACTTAATCTTACGACTAAATTGCTAAAAGTATATTTGAAAAATAGTAGCCTACAAAAAATGCAGACATTCAGACCTGTTTTGTAGAAAGAAAATATTCAGTTATATTTCAATGATTATGCAATGTCGACATATTAGAAAAATATCAATACAACTATTGAATATAACCGGAATCTATATGCCTATAATCCTTTAGAGATTCTTGATATATAAGTCTAGCTTGGAAGTACCCAGTGAAGCAATCATCTGAAAGAAGCAATGAAGCATAACCGGTTCACTATAAAGTTTTTTTTTTTAATTTTTCAGTTGTCGTTTCCATTTGCCGAACAAACATTTAATTTTAGACACTTATGTAAATGTTTCCTCATAAGATGTAAATATTATTATCATTCCTATTCAAATATATAATTCCTTGCTTAAAAATAAAAATTTATTTAGAGAATTCGATCGTATAAATACGCAAGTTAATAAATATCAGATGCTTCAGTTACTCAGTTATAAATATAATACTAATGAATGTTTATCTTGATAAATACCATGGTAATGTCGACAATAATCCAGGAATGATCGAAGGTTTCAAACGTTATCAGTTATATTAGATAAGTTGTGTAGAGTTAGTTACAATTCACTGCACGGATAATTCGATTTCAATGAACGTTTAGCTAGTTTTAAGGGATTTTAACAATATCGAATGAAGTTATTATATTTTAGTTTAGTTCTTTTTCAAATTTTTCGAATCGTGTTGAATCAGATAAATTTTTCGTGTCCGGATACATACTGTAATAATGTACAATGCTCTCAGGACGACTGCCTAGGAGGACGAATCGTGAAGAATGCAACAAAATGCGGTTGTTGTCATATATGTATCAGACCTCTCAGTAAGTTATTGAAAATATAGTATTACAAAACTATCCTTTATATTTTTGTAGACGTTTTTATTTTTCTTAGAAGTGGGAGCTAAGTGCGACACGAAAGTATTTGCTAAAATTCCATTAGAAGAATGCGGTCCTGGACTGAGATGTGAAAATAGAACATGCGTTCCTTGTAAATATGTTTCTTAACGAAACAAATACATTTATATATATTTTTTAAATGATTAATATATTTTTAAAGACGTTTAAATAGTTTTATTAAGTAATGTTTAATAGTTGTTAATGGTAGTTTTATAGTTTTGTATTTAATAATAATAAAATTCATTGAGTATTTTAATATATTATAACAAGGAAAAAATAAATTAATCAAGTTATATTGAACAATAAAATTGATTAGATATATTTTTAAAATTTTATTCATTTTAGTAAATGAGAATTGTGCTAAAAACCAAAGAGAATATGATAAAAAGTATGAAAATATTGAATTAACGACAGCACCTCCAAGACCTCAATGCGATAACTTTGGGGATTTTGCACCCGTACAGTGCAAAAAAGGGAGAATGTAAGTAATTTTTATGTTTATAGAAATTATTTAGGCAACATTTTCAAAAAAAAAAAAAAAA